GCAAAAAACAAGTTCTTGGAATTTTAAACGCTTGCAACTTTCACGGATGTTTTCACAACGTCGCGACATGAGGGCATATTTTAGATGACGCCACAGACCTTCGTCGACTATACGAACCTAATGATGTGATTGAAACTTCGGGAGCAGATCGTTCGCGAGATGAAATACAGCCTCCTTATTCGACAAATGTGGGTGTCAACCACATGACCGTGTAACAGTATCAACGGACAAGCAATGCATTTGGGGCAACACTGGAAACGAAGAAGAGGGTACGGGGAAAGCTCCAGAATGGGCCCGGAAGGTAAAAGATGGAATCAACAATGGAAGAGTAAATTGCGTGGGAACTGTAAGGTCTGGCTGCTAGATTATCCTTCTATGTCATCCATGGATTTTGCACGTTACGGCGAATAGTGGGATTATTCTCCTGAAGCGGTTGTCTTGGATGGAATATCGGGCCAAAGAAAATGAATGAATCTTAACAGAATGGTCAAAATCTACATTCCTGCTTTAACAGACTCAAACGATATAACCCTCTTGGATAACTCTTGATTCTAGTTCGTAAGTCAGCCAACCAGGAAATAAATCAGATAAAAATCACTGATCGACTTATAATGGGTGCTAGTAAATGATATTAGATACACTGATGCTTTCATGCCACCGCTATAGTACGTTACCACTCAGTCGGTAGAATGCCCAATTCTGAACCAATAGGTTCCGGGTTCGAATCTCAGTCAAACACTCGCCATTCTTCCTCTGGAGATGATTAACATTTGTGTACCACTCTGTGAGAAGGAAACCGGAAATCTGATTACACAGTATGCATGCCACGTATCTGCTCTCAGCTCCAACTTCAAATCTCCTGATTGGTGCTATGGAAATGGAGATCAGCAATCCACGAAAAGAAGGGCTTCAGACCGTGTGAAGAAGACCGACATTCCAACGGTTGCAAATATTCCATTCCTTCATTTTTCTGCCGCTGTTCACCGCCATCTTCATGATGAGCAAAGTCGAAGCAGTCAGAAGCGCTTAACTTTTGTTAAAACTCCCTGTGACCCTTTTCTTTCTGTTATCGTACACCAAAGAAAGTTTTATAATTTCACTTTTTCTGGCAATCTTTAACAAGCAAAATTAAAAAAGGAAATTTAATTTGCAGGCTCACAAAGATGCGAAACGCGGAACGCCGACAGTACTAGCCTGTTAAATCCGTGTGAAGAAAGTGGACAGTGTTTTGCCATATCGGTTCAGCGAAAGAGACAGAACTGATAAGCGAATACTGACCAGAATGATTACTGTTGCACGAAACTCTTGGTTGAAGAGTTTCTTGCCACGAAAACATGTAGTGTGTGGAAACAAGTATTTGCTTCCATGAATACTTTTGAACGGAATACCTTCTGAAGTGACGATAAAACCACTGACGGATCGATAGCACGTATCCTTGAATGAACGGAAAGTGCTTTGGCATTCTTTAGTTAATGGTATTCATAAAGCGCCGCTGATATTCGTACCAATATCATCTAAGTGGACACCACTGTGAGCAATCTACTGATTCTTACCCACGAATGCTACTGGACTTGAAAGAATGGCTGTTGAATAATTCGGCCGAAACTCTTACCTCGCAAAGAAGAAAAAACATGAAAACGAAAAAAAGGAGGGGAAGAGGAAGAAGAGTCAAACTGTGAGGAATAAGACAATAAACAGTGGCTGTTCAATAGTGCACATATATTCAACTACCATGAGAAAAGTAACATCGATCCCAATAACCTACCTCAACTCTGGATTTGTAGAAGTTCATCTCCATAAGCTTCTCCTTGTATTTCTGGCACTCTTTCTCGAGACGCTCAACGCCGTCCACTTTCTCGCGAAGCATATCCACCTCATCGCGATAGTCCTTCGATGCCCGCATCTCTTTGGTCAGCTCGAGATTCTAAAATGAATATGCATTTGTGTTCGCCTCCATACATTTTCTCAGCGTAAATCTCACGCGACTTACCTCTTTGCGAAGCTTCATGATGATTTCATCCTTCTCGACGATATCCTCTTTGTGCATGCCGATAATTTCGATCTTCTCTTCCCTTAATACAAAAGCGAAAAAAGTAAAGATGCCTGACTCTGAGGAAATGAACGGTGTACCTGGCGAAATGTCGGAACTAATTCAAAGCCATCAATATTATAAAGATAAAAACTTCAGCTTTTGCGGTTAGCTGAACGGTAACGCTATCACGTGCAGCGTTTCGAGCTATGGTTCTGGAAGAGTATATTTATATAAATTTTACCGTTTACAGTATGCGCTGATTTTAAGATAGCTGTTATGTGATTGAGTGCGAACTGCAGCTGTATAACAATAAGAGAACATTACGCCGTTTTTATTATTCACGGGACAAGCCAGTTTTTTGGCTGGTTGCATCGAAAAACTATGGGGAATTTAGCAGGTGATACAAAAAAAAATTACGCCGCATTATGGGGTTAAATCAGGTTTTTAAAATTTCATGCATACAACTAATATATAACCCCTCAACATTTGACCCCCACATGATACAGACAAAATAACTTTGCTTGAAATCAGTCTCATCTTATCAGACTATATAAGCGGCGAATCTTTGAACCCTGAAACATTACTATACATTCATTTTTATATGCTTAACACAGTGTGGCAATGGTAGCTGTACATGTGCGCAAATTGTTTTGTGCCTTTATTATAATTGATATGACAACGACACGCGCAAGCAAGAACATAGGCAATGGAGGCAAAGGGAAACAAGGATACAAAACTAAAAAGTTGACAGAGCATGCAGTCAGAAAGCGAAGGATACAATTACCGAAAAGTTTACAATTTTCATTGCGATCAAACGATTCATGGACATAACCTTATCCAGCACTATGGGTCAAGCACTATCAATTGGAGCAGCGGTACTGTTATAAGACTGCTAACCTTAGACAACGGCATTTGATCTGGTTCAGCTCTATGCCTGTCAACTGTGTGGCCCAAAGTTCAGTTTATCGCCATATTCATGCAAGCAGATTCATTAACAGCGCATCAAATGGGACCAATCTGGGAAGCTGCGCTGTTAGAGTTTCGTCATCCTGATGACAACTGTGACAATTATGATCTCTGATAAGATACTGACGATGGCAATGCTGTTATCGATGACATCAAATCGCCACCGTAACCATTAATTCGCCCACAGGCCAGAAACCGTTAGCTAGAGAAAATGTCGAAAATTCTGAGAAATTTAAACTCTATGCCTTTTCACCATGATCTGTTATAACAAGCCGGTGAGATTTCCTGCATAACATTATTAATCGACTGGAAGTCAACAGTAGTTAGCGGAAAAGAAACTAAAAGTCTCACCATTGAGATATCAATCATCTTTACACCTTAATCGTTGAGCGATATTTGTAACACCCTTCTCATTACTACATATTGTGCTGATTGTAAAAAGTCCTGATCAGCTATCAAGCGAGTCGCGGTGAAGTGCAGCCACAATTGGTGCTTGCACAGGATAAAATGGCTGTATACTTCATCCCCTCCGATGTGACCACACCAGAAGACCAACATGTCTATATTATTTGCAATTCAGCGACTTTGTACTTGTTTCCTGCAACTTTCAGTAAGTTGCTTAATCACGGCACAAAGGAGTTAAGGTTAAGACGAAGTTCGGCTTTCTCCAGGACTTGAAGTCGATTACTTTGCCACTGTACCATTGAGTCCCAGGGAAGCCATCTGTGCGATGCTGATATCCGTTTTTATGCCACCACGCAGGAACAGCTCATTCAGGCAATTCTGGCAGCTGCGAGGCAAATGGTACAGTGTGTAGCTTCGAGTTTCCTATTCAAAGAAATGATACTGAACTATGTACCTCAGAAGAAAAGTTTGAACCCGGGGCAAACCCGGTATTCTGCTGGCACAATTTTATCGTCGTTTACAGATTGAAGGGAGTACAGCTGTGCAAGCAGTGACAGTAATAATCTCTAAGAAGTGACGTCTGCCACTGAAAACAGCCTAAAACAAGATTTACTGATGCACAAAACAAACAATATGGTCAATCGACTGACCGACGTTTCAGCCTGTTTCTCACTTGCCTTCTTCAAGGTAGAGAAGTGGGTTAGCTTCGGTAGCGCATTCGGTCGTTTGCAGCCGTTCATATGTTCAGAGACAGAAAGCTTTTTGCGAACGACAGAAAAACTTTTCAAAAAACAACCCACCTCTAATTTGAAAAGGCCATGAGATACCGGCCACAACGTCGGTCATTCAGTCGAGAGACCATACTGTTTGCGTTGTGTAAAAATAAACTGCATTTTTTTTTGCAGTTTCGACGAGATGAGACGAATGATATGAGTCGCTTCTATTCCATTTGCGGACTGGGCTTTACTGTCAGATTCGAAACGGAACTGTATATTATTTGGTAGATAATCAGCCGGATCAAGAGTAAATCTTGAAAGAACACCATAGTTGACAGGTGAGTTTCGCCCTGCATGCGATGCGTACTGAGAATCAACTGACAAGCACAAGTAACTAACAAAGAGGTCATGAAAGCTTTAAAGATGATTTTGAACATCTGAACATAAACCACTAGAGAACCAAGCTCAACCATACAGTACAAGGATCAAACCTTCACTATTAATGACTAGTGCATTCAAACGCTTCAATTAATCTCTCGCCAATTATATTTAAAAAAACTGGCTGCTGGAGTGTTTCCAATAACTGTGGTTAAGTCGCAGGTCAGTGCTGCAGAGCTCTGCTGGGCGCAAGTTATTCTCGCTGTATTCGCAAGTACGCCAAAGTTTACGAATGACACTGCATTCACGCCAGATACAGATGCAATGACGTGGCCGCTTCGTACTTACAGATCTTGTCGCATTCTGCGTAACTTCGCCTTCAGGTCGGCCACTTCGATTCCGGTGTGTCTTTCGGCGAAGTCGTCGCGCATCTCTGAAATGACAAATTAACAAAAGGACAGTTAGAGAATGACGGCGATGTTGCATCGCACAAAAGACACGGGCCATTCGTCAGACATTTGGCTCTTACCATGCTGCTGACTCTCCGGTAACTTCAACCCACTGCACATCGACTGGACGCTCGATGCGTCAGACTCCTGTTCTTGGTTGAGGTCCAGCACCAGATGGGCGTACGAGTTCCTTTCCTCGACCAGCCGTACGAGACTGTGCAACAAAGCCTTAGTGCCGTCACCGCCGTCGCCACCGTGAGAAGCAAACTCGCTCGTCGCCATCTGCTGCACGTTCACCACGTAATCCGCATCCTGAGTCACCTGCAAATATAAAAGAGGGCAGGAGTTTAGCTGGCCAATCGGTTCGTCGCACTCACTTTGCGAATCTCTTCGACGATCGACTGCTGCAGATTGACGTCCAAGTTCTTGATCTGGTTGACAAACTCCTCTTTCTTTTCCGATTGAACTGCACTTCCCAGCAGCAGCAAAAGCAGCTTTTTCATGTCGTCACCACTTACCTCTAAAAAGCCAATAATTCACAAAAAACAGTAGCAGTAGCAGTAGCAGAGCATGCCACTATGAAAAACCATGTCCCCAAGGGAACGACAGCAAAACACTACGAAAAGAAGGTAAATGATGAAAATGAATGATTCTAATAGCATTATAGTTGAACAAAGCAAAAAGTCAGACGAAAACAAGAGAGAAGAAACTTATGCGATAAAATAGGATTCGATAGCCTGCTGCGCCAATAAAGTACACCGTGTTATCTACCCTGGGTCTTATTTCTTTTCGGTTCTTTAATTCAAAGTAAATCTATTTTTGTACAACTAGTCACAAGCTCTAAAATTCAAGTCGCAAACTCGGTTCCAATATGGTTCGTCATCGAAAATGGAGACAAATACACAAAACTTGTCCCATCCTACAAGTGTTTTTTTAACATCACATGCAAAATCGTTGTGAATCTTGCTTCGGACAGATGGTGATAATGCTTCTTCAATCAGTTCGAAATTATTTTGCATTATAAATATGCACTTATTACACTAAATTATTTGAAGACAAACACAATTCTTGATGCAGGTTAAAGATCTGTATGACTTCAAATGGCTTATTCAGAACGTAGAATAAACTCGTAACCCTTAAAGATCTTAAAAATAAACTATTTAAAATCTAATTCCACCATCCGCGTCTCATTTCCCTTGAAACGTTTTCTGGAAGACACAACTTCGACTGAGAAAACCGGTGGAACAACCTCGCATCGTCATCGTCGTATGCGTGTTGCCGTTTCTTGAGAGCAGACTAAACAGAAACCCACCTGTTCCGAGAATCTCACTGAGATATGTAAACCAAAGACCAACCAAGCGTACATGCAAAACAGACGATCAAACAAACGGGCGGTGACAGTGGACTACGTTGATCCCCAAAGGTTTTGGGAAGGCCGGTCCGTAACACAGGGAGGATGCCATCGCCTACATTCCAACGTTGATTACAATCAATTCACTCTCTAATGCAAAGAACTCAATTAGGAGTCGATGGTGAGGGAAAATAGTCTGCGCCTGGTGTGGATTCCAGCTTCAAGATTGACCCTCCTTTACATACACAACGTTGGGAAACTCGATCAATCTGATGAAAGCATTCGTAACAGAATAGGACCAGCCCTAAGTTGGTCTCTTGCTATGGAGTCCCTACATATTTTGGCGATGAAAAATCATGTGTTCAGTGAATAACCTTCCTCTGTTCTGATAAGTGAAAGCAGGGGTGCTGTTACCAATTTAATAAGAAAGTTTGAAACGGCGTAACGAGTGACTGAGTTTAAACCCTATGATATATTTATGAATATGCTGGTTAATGTCTTGTGTACATATGCCACTCAGAACATACTGATGTGCTGCTGTGTACGTCAGGCTGCTTGCCGCCTACAATATCAGTTATGATGATGATACGGCAGGCGTAGCGATAAGAGATAGTAATAAAATGCTACCATCTGCGTTGTTTGATGCTTTCAACCATGATCGGCAACTATCTACAATTTCAGCAAAAGATCCAGATCCAGAACATATGAGTTTTATAACTGAGCACATTCTTCTGAAGTAGTATGGATCGTGCATATCTTTCAGTCAGCAGATAGAAAAAGATCCTGCAATTTTAACTGAACCTTTAAGCTCCTAGGCACTACGTCAAAAGTGTCAAAAGATTTTTAGTGAGATAATTAACTATTAACATGGGTGACAATGGCATAAGTCATTAGCTTTGTCTGGCAGAGGCGACGGTTTTAAAAGAAGGGCATTCGTGTTAATAATTATATACGATTACACATAATATATAATATAATCTTCATTCGATATTTCTATATGCTTACGGATAAAGTTGTTTGAGCATGGTTTTGCTCCATCAAACAAAATGTTGCTATTCTACGCCAATGAAATGCAGATACCAAAATATCATGGCGCTGCGACCAACGTACATTAACCCTTAGGTTATTAATAACAGGGGGATGGTGCGACTATGTCCTGCTAGTCTGGAGAATTGACACAAGATTGCTACTCTATTTATTTAGCTATAGCACTTACATATACAAAACATTATTTTTTCTGCAGCAACTGTTCCCTTGATCAAAGAATTTGCTCCACTGAGCTGCGTTACTACGAATTGAGAAAAAGTACTCGACCTTAAAAGTAAAGGAATAACATACTGTCCTGGGATGATAATGTTCATGACGATGCTTACAAAGCGTCCGACAATTACACCCATACTTTTTTTACAAGTGAACTGCATGGCTACAGTATCCCTCACCGCTATTCGACTTAACCAGCAAAGGATGTAAAGCAAAACAGATTAATACATTAATAAAAAAGAAATTACCGGGATACGGATTTTTGGCAATGCTCAGCATATCTGGTAGTGGCATGACGATACACTGCTTCAGGATTTCCTAAATTACAAACAATAAATAAAAATCAAAACACTACAAAAATTAATTTAACGATGAAAAGTCACATAATACAATCTGAAATAGATTAATTGCGAGTCGCAACATGTGTGGAAAGCATGAAAGCATGAAACATGGCCACAAAATGCTCGCATTAACCAATATTTGGACTGAAAAACGAGTACAATTAAAATGCCGTTTGCATAAAAAAATTACCTATGTTGGCTCAGTGAGATAAGTGCAGCACAGAGTATCTAACGAAGGACGTAAAGCGACGGTAAAGTTGCATACACAGTTTCTGTTTTGACGAATAGTGAAGGTTAAATGGCGAGACTACAGGTAATTGTTTCTTTGTAGATGCGCAGGTTAAGAAAAGGAAGTGAACCTTCGCATAAAATTCTTTATTTGATAACCTTGGTAGCGATTACTATGCAACGAGAATAAGAACCGTAGGAGGAAAGGTTTGCGTTTAGAATCTAAATGTTTATGCACGAGCCAGTAAATCCAATTTGCAAAGGTACTGAATAAGGTCAGAATGCAGTAGACCACTAATTCAAAGAATCAATGCAATAACAGCCATTAAAACCTCAAATGACAATATTGTATCTGTGCCAGAATGTGTTATGTGTGCTGCTGAAGTGCGCGCTTCAAGCGAAACTTCCACCGTCCAGCTTCCGTTTACCAGATTGTGTGTGCTCAGCCAGCGGATACAAGTAGAGGTAGAGGTTAGACGCGTTTGGCGACTAGTTTCAGATGTTTTAAACCAGTTTAGAAACATGTTTATTGAAATTTTCATTTTCGGCTATTCGACCTGTTTCCTTTGCGATTTATGAACCACCGCGGATGTAGACCACGCAAGCCCTTTGCTCGACTTCTCGCCGACCTTCTAGCAAGCTCATCGAATTGGTAAAAACAAAGGCTGGCGAAGATATTTGAGTGCTTCAGTGCAAATTCAGGGTATCCAGTCATCAGCAGCACTCGCCCGGTTCTGTTAACATGCGTTGTGTCGACAAACGTGGCTCCTGACAACCATGGCGTTCAACTAACCAAAAAATTTCTGTTCCACTGTTTTCTTAGCCAGCCTTGTCCATTTGTGGCATTGCCTGCGTTCGACAATATTTTTTACTGCTAAGATGCAACATGCTTCTTCTGCTTTCAGCATAAGCGTATGTATAACGCAAAACAACAAGACGATTATTAAGTAATAATAATAATAATAAAACAGAAAGTTTGCAATCTTAGAAATTTCGGTCCTCCTTATATTTTCGAGATGGGGCAATTTCTGGTCCTGATCTCTATGTCTAAATTATCAGCCCGAGGGGGATGTGTAATCTTGAAGGCTGCTGTGATGTCCCAAACATAGTGTGGAGTTTCTTGTTTGGTTCATTTCCCACTGAATGACATTCATTTATCAATATCGAAAGAAAGAAAGCTGATCCGGGACCTTTCGGTTTTGAGTTTGACACTCTGCCGATTAAACGACTCATGCAGTCTGAGGGTTGCATGACGAAGTGTTGTGATTTTGTGTTAAAGAACGGCACCTAGCTTCTCATAGGCGTCCTGACTTAAGGTTATTCTCACCTACGTTTCACAGAAACGTCAGCAAATGGATCAGAGCTGATATTCAGCAGCAATGAAAGTGCGCAATTACTGTTTCCTGCTCATCCCCTCCATTAAGCTAACAATAAACGTAAAGAATAGTACACAATTAAATAGATGATAGGAGGATTCAAGCGCTGGCGAATGCTGAACAAAAATAAATCAATTTTATATGAAATATACCAACAACGGTTGAAGATGGCGCATGAATTCAATGGCTAATGAGCGTGCCTAGCTTGTTGATCAAGTTTTGTTTCATTATTTAACAAAGAATTGACCTTGTATGCTTGACGTCGGCCATTTGGGCGACAAAATCAAACTGACATGAATTCAGTACAGACAACCCCCCTTGTCTGTACTTTGACACGTAAATTTTCTTATAAGGGCTACGGAAAAAAAATTCGAATTAAAAATTTTACTTTCAGTTAGACACGTTACTTAAACGCTACAAAACATCGTTCTTGCGTGTACAGCATATACAAGTAATGGAGTGTGATGAATAATTAAACTTAGAAGTCAATAAATATATTATCGATTAAAGGACTAACTCACATCTGATTGAATCATCAAATGATGAACTAACTGAATTAGAAACAGCGATATTTGGTGACACTGAGGTTTCGAAATCGGAAGAGAAAGTGAAGTTTCAAAAAGCTGGCAATCACATCCCGTGAGGTTTTAGCTCAAATGGCAAAACATAAAAAAAATCAAACGTGATCACTCACGGTTCTTAAAAACCCAAGATAGAAACAGATAACGCTTCAGCTTGCTATGGAGTCACTTATGGAAAGAGGAAGCAACCAATCAGTCGTTTATTGATAAATTGATAGATAAGGCTGAAGATCAAAATTAAACTTTCTTTTATACTTCTGTTCCTACATACCATTTATGTTGTGCTACATTACTGTCTATTAACAATTACACATCTAAATCAATTTTACCTCCCCATCCTGTGAATGAAATGGACATAATTAGCTT